TCCAATGATCAGGAAATTCACTCTTTTATAACTTGCTGGTAATATGTATATTTCTACAGCATTGGCTTACTGGTGCATACTGTTGTATGTTTTGGTAAACTTAAAAAAAAATAAATTAAAATCTAAGTAAAAATAGTGCGTTTTTCTGAGTTGGCATTCACAGTCAAAGATTAATTATAGCAAATCCACGATCCGAAACACTGATGTGATGGGCAGGTGTGCTCTCCCTATCTGCCAGAGCTTTGCCTTTCAATGGTGGATTTGACAATCAGGTTCTTGGGACTTTGGTTTACAACCAAATCATCAGTTTTATTTTCAAAAATGTACCCCCTTGTTGGCTACTTTTTAAAAGGATCTTAGGGAATGGTCCTATCCCTACATCTCCTGGCTTGGTCGTGTTCAGGTGGTGAATATTAATGTATTCTCCTGCTTTCTGTATCTTTTGCAGAAAATTCTTTTTTTTTGTTGAAAATCTGTTTATTTTTATTTAGAAGAGGATAACAAGAAAATTAGGCTCGCAGGCCTTTGTAAAAGACATTGGTAGGTACATGATACAGGTCCAATTTCAAACTTTAAAAAAAATACAAAATAACATTCTTTGGAGCCGTTCTTGATTACAATTTTACTTCACATGACTAGTATGGTTGCAATTTATAAGAGTATGCCATAAGATCCTTGTCTATTTAGTTAGACTTTGTTCTACACATTAACATGCATGGATAATTTCCACCCAAGGCTAGGTATATGTCACCGAGTATGCGTATGGCTGTTTCCCTCATCCAAGTATGAGGTTGATAGTTCCTGTAATGGGAAGGGTTTTGAGGGAGAGATGTTGAGTTTGTGTGGGAAAAGAAAGAAGAAGAGGAGGTAGTAGGTATAAGAGGAGCTTCCCCCCCTGTCCCCGGGTCATAGGTCTTTTTTTAAAAAATTTAATTTATTTTTCCCCGTTGTATAGCTGCTGAGGTCGACCCATTCCACCCTATCAATAAACAGTTATCATGACATGCAGGTCCTTCTTGCATTAAAGACACAGTTGTAAAGTATCAATCTTGCATGATGGCAGTCATGTAACTATCGACCTGGACGCCTTAGATGCACATTCTCAGTACCACTACATGCCCATCGCGTGTAAATGTACCTGGACCATGCTCTATGGGGGTGTGGCGTCTTTTTACTCCCCAACATGGATTCACCATCCACCACCTTCCTCTCATGAGCATTTGTTCCGACTGTTTTGTATGGCATATCAGCACTCAGCTTATATGTGAAGGTGCCCTGCGGGTTAGGTACAGCTCATGTGCGTGCGGGAGGTGGTATCTACTATTGCGTGAGCATGTATGTGGCAATTACAAGAAGTCTATTAGGTGGCTTATGGGTGCATGATGATAAAGAGTGTAAGCGTATGGAGTAAAGGGAAAGATAGTACTTTCTCTTGCCCCATACAGGGGCTAGCTTGTCATGGGAAGAAAAGGTGTATAGGCACGAGGGAGGGAGGGTAAATTAAAGGAGTAGCAGAAGTTAGGAGGTATGTGTTGGCCTCGCCCTGTGGTGCCAGGGGTCCCCCATGTGACCTCCACGATCGCTCTCATTTCCGTACGTTCTGTGATATAAATACAAACCAGGGTCGCCATGTCTCGACGTGCTTGTTCCCCCTCCACAGCAGGGATGCCTGCATCGCCTCCGCCCCCTGAATGTCCTCAACTCTGCGTAGCAATTCTTCCTCGCGGGGAACCTCCACCCGCTTCCAGTATAGCTGGATTAAAGCCTTAGCTGCATTTAGCAGGTGTCGTAATATGGATTTTTTGTATAAGGACACCAACATGGGTGATATATGTAGGAGGGCCAATGCCGCTGTCCATTCAGTCACATCTCCCAGAATCTCAGTTATTTTTTGCCTAATCATTTCCCAGTATGGGAGGATGTCACGGCATTCCCACCAAATATGGATTATCATTCCCCTCTCCGCTTGGCATCTCCAGCACGTAGGAGGAGTCATCAGGAAGATTCTGTGAAGAAGGACTGGGGTCCTGTACCAGAGTGTCAGTAATTTATAATTCGTTTCCTAGTATTGCGAACTAATAGAGCTTTTATGTTGCCAGAGTAATGCGTGGTCCCATTGTTGGGGTGTGAAAGTTGTGTCTAGAAGTTCCTCCCATTGCCTGCGAAAGGTGGTGTTCGTTGTTAAGTGTCCTGTCAAGAGGTATTGGTATAGTGTTGAAATCGCTTTCTCAATCGGTGAGCCCTTTTCACAGCGATCCTCGAACCAAGTTCGGTTCCTGTGCAGGTGTTTTGCAGACAATTCCCATTGTTATTCCAAGAGCATCTTTTGCATCCTTATGGACGGCACTATTGGGGTATGTCTGGCACAGGAGAAAACCTTAAAAAAAAAATGAATGAATGAGCAGCACAACCATAGAGCTAAAAAAACATTTTATTACAATAGAACAGAAAGTATACAAAATATACCACAATCACATACACACATGAAAAACGGCTAGAAATGAAAATAATACTATTCCAGATACAGAGTCATATGGATACCTAGAGAAAGCTACCCAACAAGTAATGCATACCATCAAAAGAAAAGTACCAGAAATAGTGAGAAAAGAGGGAGAAAATCAAAATGGCCCCCAACGTTTCGGCAGAATTGCCTTTACCAAGGGAGCATGTTGTGAAAAGAAAAGAAACTCCTTTATTTACCCAAAGGGAAACCAAATATCAATGAAAAACACCTGAGTGTGATGTGTGGCCACCCACAATGATTGAGATCCTCCCGACCATAATCACATGGCTATGGTCACCAAGGAAACCAATACACAGGAAGTATATGTGCATTGATATTGTATATGTATATAACAGGGATGGAAAGGTTCCAAAACATGAATGTTAGAATCAGCAAAGAGACAATAAACCAAAGCCCCAAAATAATAAATAGAAAACCTTGCCAAAAGTTTTGCCAACTGAAAAGGCCAAAAACGGAGGGGGACTTGGCCCTCACAGGTTTCAAGTTTTACTACATTGCTTGCCATTTTTTGAGGGTGGTGGTATGGACCAAACAAGATGTCCATAGGTTTTGGAAATCCATTAAGGAGGTGTTGGTGGGCATTCCGCTCTCATCTCTTGCGTGGCTCACAATAAAGTGAGGCCGGGGGGTGGGGGAGTATGTAAAAGCTACATTACAGGTATGACATACTACAACCCAAAAGAGTGGTATTTCTTCCATTACTGTGCTCCCTCAGTGCATAACCCAAACTTCCCCCTGGTATGTACCCCAAGGCCTTTACTAACTTGATACACTATCAAATACCCAGATTACACCATGTGGGGGCCCCCTCGGAATTGAGACCAATTGCCTCCCTGAACGAGGAGAAAACACCTCATTTTGGACTGCTTTTGATCCCACCGGAACCCTCTATTTAGAGACCCGAGCGCCTTTGACTCTACGTGCATACCTTCAGGCTTTTTATTACATGGAGTGTTTTACCTATCAGCTCCCCATATTACTTCCATTATTTATGGATCAATGGGAAACACACACAGGAAAAACCTGTGAAATATGTGACCTCACCACTGCTCACTTTCCAGTAAGTCCCAAGAGATGGCATATAAGGTTCTGTCCTGCTGGTATCATACCCCACTGTTCCTCCAACCCAAGGTTATGCAGGCATTGTTTGCAGTTAATGAGAAACCCTGATTTACTTGTGGTGGGATTGTACACTGATCCAGCCCTACTGGAAGGGAATACATTCCCTGTTAAATACATTTTCAGTTTCACCACCTCCCCCGTGCTGCTGCACCATGCTGAGACCCCCAGCACTAGGTACAAAAAGTCTATCACAATTTTTAATGTTGGAAGAACTACGCACAATAGATATTTTGAGGCTTTGGATAAAATCAACATATACACAACAATCTGGTTTCAGTGGATACTTACTACCTCCTAAGGAGGACTTTCAGTCAATCCTTGATTAGACCTATTGGGGTAGCACATTGACTCTGCTGCTAGCAGGAACCCGGATGATATTTCCTCCGCCCCCATTGACCTTTTCTGTTCCATTGTTTGTTCATATTTTAAATTATGCATAAAATACAGAAATTCCTTATATATTGAAACACAAGCTACACTGGTGTTACTTTGTTCCAGATAACTTCTTGAATAACCTGATAAATTGGGACCTGTGAGTCTCTGTATTACTCAAATATAACCTGAGGGTCCTGCAAGACCATCTTAAAAAGATACTGCCATTCCTATATAGCGTTAGGAATGCATGGTTGTATTCCCAATGCTATAGTTTTCCTTTAATACCAAACTTAGCTTGGTGTGAGTTGTTGTGAGACCTGCCAACTTCAGTGGCTGATTCCTGGAATGTTGTTGCCAAGTTTACATTAGCCAATTACAATATTAAGGATTAGTGGAAAGACAATTTTATTGTTACCAGTGTTTTTTTGTTGTTTTCACTTAACAGAGATTATGCAGGATATATTTTTTTTTATATATATTCTTTATTTTTGTTGTGCAGAGATTGAGAAAGAAGTTAAATATACATATCCATGGGTTGAGGTAAAACATAATACGGTGCATGAGCATTACAGGATATGACAAGAGTGTTTCACATTTAAAAAATAAATAAAATTGTATAACAAGCAGGCTTAGTATGATATGCTGTGGTAAAATTTTCAAGCTAAACAGAACTTTGCACGAGAAGACAACAAATGCATAGAGTATCATAAAATGTATTATATGACTGTCTGGAGAGGGATTCCTCCCTGTAGGGCTCCGTATGAAAGGCGTGATAGTTCAATTAGTGTTTGCTTAGGAGTATGGGGAACCAGGGTACTGTAGCATGGAGCAGCACACTTGGACATTCCAGGTGTCCTTCAGCCTATGTCTTTAAAGGGCAATTCAAAGTCCCGGATAGTAGTGCTAATTAGCATGCCCAGTGGGGTAAGTGCCAGTGAGATATTGGGGGGCAGTCAGCATTCCGTGGTGTGTTCCCGTTCTAGCTGGGAGCTCTCCTGCCTACCTTGTGTGTGCCTCGCTTCAGCAGATGATTATGCACTGCCAGCCTCTGACGACGGCAGTGCGGTCCTTGCCGCTTGATGCGGGCCGCAACAGGGCCCAGAGCCACATGTCTATCGCAGGGGTTCCTAGGTATTTGTGCAGATGGGTCAGACTTTGGAGGTTGTGTGACAGGCAGTAGATACTTGTCCTGCAGCCTCTGCCAGAACTGTTGAAAGTGGTGCCTCAGCCGCTGCAGAATACAGATGCTCTCCTTCAGTAGCATCCTGAGGGCTGCCTTCGCCGCCATGCTGTGTGCGCCATCCGCGGTAACAGCGT